CGTGTAGAGCTGTGTAGAGTTGTGGGGAGCTGTGTAGAGTTGTGTAGATAATGCTGATAGCTGCATGAGTGTGTAGAGCTGTGTAGAGTTTTGCAGATAATGCTGATAGCTGCATGAGTGTGGGGAGCTGTGTAGAGTTGTGTAGATAATGCTGATAGCTGCATGAGTGTGTAGAGCTGTGTAGAGTTGTGTAGATAATGCTGATAGCTGCATGAGTGTGTAGAGCTGTGTAGAGTTGTGCAGATAATGCTGATAGCTGCATGAGTGTGGGGAGCTGTGTAGAGTTGTGCAGATAATGCTGATAGCTGCATGAGTGTGGGGAGCTGTGTAGAGTTGTGTAGATAATGCTGATAGCTGCATGAGTGTGGGGAGCTGTGCCGTGTAGAGCTGTGTAGAGTTGTGTAGATAATGCTGATAGCTGCATGAGTGTGGGGAGCTGTGTAGAGTTGTGTAGATAATGCTGATAGCTGCATGAGTGTGGGGAGCTGTGTAGAGTTGTGTAGATAATGCTGATAGCTGCATGAGTGTGGGGAGCTGTGTAGAGTTGTGCAGATAATGCTGATAGCTGCATGAGTGTGGGGAGCTGTAGAGTTGTGTAGATAATGCTGATAGCTGCATGAGTGTGGGGAGCTGTGCCGTGTAGAGCTGTGTAGAGTTGTGTAGATAATGCTGATAGCTGCATGAGTGTGGGGAGCTGTGTAGAGTTGTGCAGATAATGCTGATAGCTGCATGAGTGTGTAGAGCTGTGTAGAGTTGTGCAGATAATGCTGATAGCTGCATGAGTGTGGGGAGCTGCGCCGTGTAGAGTTGTGTAGATAATGCTGATAGCTGCATGAGTGTGGGGAGCTGCGCCGTGTAGAGCTGTGTAGAGTTGTGCAGATAATGCTGATAGCTGCATGAGTGTGTAGAGTTGTGCAGATAATGCTGATACCTGCATGAGTGTGTAGAGTTGTGTAGATAATGCTGATAGCTCCATGAGTGTGGGGAGCTGCGTCGTTTAGAGTTATGTAGAGTTGTGTAGAGCTGTGTAGAGTTGTGCAGATAATGCTGATAGCTGCATGATTGTGGGGAGCTGCATTGTGTAGAGTTGTGTAGAGTTGTGTAGATAATGCTGATAGCTGCATGAGTGTGGGGAGCTGTGTAGAGTTGTGTAGATAATGCTGATAGCTCCATGAGTGTGTAGAGCTGTGTAGAGTTGTGTAGATAATGCTGATAGCTGCATGAGTGTGGGGAGCTGTGTAGAGTTGTGCAGATAATGCTGATAGCTGCATGAGTGTGTAGAGCTGTGTAGAGTTGTGCAGATAATGCTGATAGCTGCATGAGTGTGTAGAGCTGTGTAGAGTTGTGCAGATAATGCTGATAGCTGCATGAGTGTGGGGAGCTGCGCCGTGTAGAGTTGTGTAGATAATGCTGATAGCTGCATGAGTGTGGGGAGCTGCGCCGTGTAGAGCTGTGTAGAGTTGTGCAGATAATGCTGATAGCTGCATGAGTGTGTAGAGTTGTGCAGATAATGCTGATACCTGCATGAGTGTGTAGAGTTGTGTAGATAATGCTGATAGCTCCATGAGTGTGGGGAGCTGCGTCGTTTAGAGTTATGTAGAGTTGTGTAGAGCTGTGTAGAGTTGTGCAGATAATGCTGATAGCTGCATGATTGTGGGGAGCTGCGTTGTGTAGAGTTGTGTAGAGTTGTGTAGATAATGCTGATAGCTGCATGAGTGTGGGGAGCTGTGTAGAGTTGTGTAGATAATGCTGATAGCTCCATGAGTGTGTAGAGCTGTGTAGAGTTGTGTAGATAATGCTGATAGCTGCATGAGTTGTGTAGATAATGCTGATAGCTGCATGAGTGTGTAGAGCTGTGTAGAGTTGTGCAGATAATGCTGATAGCTGCATGAGTGTGTAGAGCTGTGTAGAGTTGTGTAGATAATGCTGATAGCTGCATGAGTGTGTAGAGCTGTGTAGAGTTGTGCAGATAATGCTGATAGTTGCATGAGTGTGTAGAGTTGTGCAGATAATGCTGATAGCTGCATGAGTGTGTAGAGCTGTGTAGAGTTGTGCAGATAATGCTGATAGCTGCATGAGTGTGTAGAGCTGTGTAGAGTTGTGCAGATAATGCTGATAGCTGCATGAGTGTGTAGAGCTGTGTAGAGTTGTGCAGACAGTGTTGTGTGTAACGCGTTATCTACAAAAGTAATACTCCCACCGGATGAAGAAGGGTTGGCTCTCCACAGAACATAAAATATTAATTGTATTGAATTTTTCGTGTATGAGGAAAGAAACAATATGGACGTAACAGTTCTTCGGACTTGACCGCTCTGAAAGCGGCACTAAAATACTGCTTTAAATCTTTCACAGAGACCTCAAACAGGCATTTAAAACACCAAATATTAAGGATTGGCATATCAAGCAAAATAATATTCGATGATTGCTCGAAAATCGTACCTCTACCCCCACATGCTTACAGTAAGACGGCGTTCGCTCAAATCCCGCTCCGATATTAAAT